AGAATGATCAAGTCAAGGAGGATGAGATGGGCAGGGCATCTAGCACGAATGGTGGAGATGAGGAATGCGTATAGGATATCGGTGGGAAATCCAGAAGAAAAGATACCACTGGGAAGAGCAAGGTGTAGGTGGGTGAATAATATTAAAAGGGATCTTAGAGAGATAGGATGGGATGGTATTGATTGGATTGTTCGGATTGATCTGACTCAGGATAAGGACCAGTGGAAGGCTCTTGTGAACACGGTAATGAACCTTTGGGTTCCATAAAATGCTGGGAAATTCTTGAGTAGCTACAGAATTGGCAGCTCCTCCAGAAGGGCTCAGCTCCATGAGTAAGTAAGTAAGTTTTGACCTCAGGGCAACTGCTAGTATGCTGTAATAAAATAAGTATGTAATAAATTTTTTTTACTTCTAAGTTTACTCATTGACAGTTATTCTACTCCTCTTGGTTTTTAAAATATTTTAGAGCATTTCTGGTTAAATGCTAGGACATTACCTTAAAAAAAAGGATTTTCACTGTTTCTTTTCCTGCTCCTGTCGGTTCTCAGTGCCTAAACTTTCTTTTATTGCAGAGAAAGTCTGCACTTGATACACCATTACTAATTATGCAACTCACACATTTACCAACATTCTTTTTTTTTATCTTGATTTCATATGTTATTGAAATAGTTCCTCATACATGATACACATCATACACAGTGTTGAAGGAAATTGTTTTCTATTTGCAGGAATATATCTCAGAATTAGAGAAGAAATTCACCTGGAAAGAGCTTAGTTATTTTGAGTTGAATCTGGAGACATGGAGACAGCTGTGGAGGGTTCTCGAGATGTCTGATATTGTTCTCATCATTGTTGACATACGTTACTGTGTAAGTGCTTACTTCAGAAATAATTGCTCTGAATATTTTGCCTATAGAACATATGTGGAGAGAGTATAAGGATGAATGCATTCTTACCCTGCTTTTGTAATTTCAATAATGATTTTTAGCCAGGAGGAAATAAGGTATGACATTAAAATATTCTGCAAATGGACCCAAATAGGATACCTCAAAGAACCTTAATTACAAAGTGTACTTGGTCACAGAAATGTAGGATGTCATAGTAGTTGGGAGGATTTCTTCAAAGTTAACTGGAGTATGTTATGAAGATTAGACATGTTACACATCAACAATGATGACACTCTCAAATCTATGTTGCCTGTTTCTGCTGTATTATGAAATATAGAATAATTTTCTTCAGTCATTCATCAAACAGCAAGAGGATATTACCATATATTATAAAAGAAAATGTTAAAATCATGGTGGGTGTCAAATATAGAAATGCGTTTAGAGCTCTGTTTATCTTCATAGACTAGTTTCCAGCCTCTTTCATTTTCAGAAAAGTTCATACATGTTGGCAGACAGACTTTCAACAATCGATCATTTAATTTCAGAAGCCTTATATATGAAAAGATGCAATTTAAAGTAGCACTAAAATGATAATTAAGTACACACTCATTCTACTCTCTTAATGAATTCCTGTTATCCAAAAATGATTCATAATCTACTCAGTGGTTTGTATAAATAGTGTAAGTGGAAGGTCTTGATGTATTCCTCATATGAACCCTCTGTGTATTTTATATTTTTATTCTTTATGGGAAAGCTTCAGTTTTACTGTACATGTATGTTTTTTTTTATGACATATTCCACATTCTACAGTCAGTTTTGACCAACTTTAGGTACATGGAATGTATCAGAAGGGACCTGCAGTTAGTCACGATAAAAGCATATAATAGATTCATGTGTAACTTTGTTTTTGATGTTGGTATTTTGTGTATATGAAAACTTGAATTTTAAGGAGTTCCTTCATTTTCTTAATCCTTTCACACTAGTGCTGGCTATCCATGTTTCCCTTCCTTTTTCTTTGAAATTCACTTTCCAAATTCACCCTGCCATTTCATTTACACAAGACAATCGCTGTAAGCGATAAAGTTTAAGTTCCACATAACTTAGGGGTTATGTTCTACTAGTCCAAACCCAAATTAAATTGATCACTTTCTAAATGCTGCGATGTGAAGCTGTATGGTCTGGTAGATGCTTACCAGGATTTAAGAGGAACACCAGTGAACATCTACCACACAACATGGTGTTACATCCCAGAAGACATTAATTAATCTTCATGGTCACATCCATGAGAACTCAAATCTCACAAAATTAAATTATCTGACAGCTTTCAATGGATGTGGACTCGACATTATGTATTCATTTGATGCACTTTGTATAGAGAACATGATGTAGTGTTAAGAAAGCAGTCTTCTGGGATGTGGCGCCATGTAGATATTGTGTTAACTGACATTTTGGAAGAATGTATCGCCTAATAGACTAATAGTCTATTTGCACCTGCTCACGCTAGTTCTTCATTTGCAGATTTTCTTCTTTTTTCTTCTACCCTTAAGATGAAGGCGATACATTCCTCCAAAACGTCGGTTAACACAATATCTACACGGCGCCACATCCCCGAAGACTGCTTTCTTCGTAGTCACCGCCATGAAAACCTCAAATCTTACATGAGGTATTGTTAACTCTTATACATACTTATGTGTATTGCAGGCACTCATGTTTCCTCCATCAGTTTACAACTATGTGACAGAGATGCTGCATAAGGATATGATTCTGGTTTTGAATAAAATTGACTTAGCACCAGCTCCACTGGTTGTTGCGTGGAAGCACTACTTCCAGCAGAAGTACCCTGCTATTCATATTCTCACCTTCACTTCATTCCCTGCTTACAACCTGAGGGGCAATCAAGAGAACAAGGCTGGTAAGCAACTCTCAATTAGTGCATGTTGGTAAAGTAACTCAAAATTAAGAGACAGGAAAGTAATTTGATAAATACATTCAGATTATATATATATAT